TTAAATGCAAATGAGAACCTACGAGTGTATCATTATAGTTTATTCCAAAGGTAGATACATAATAATAGCCAGGAAAGTAGATGTTTTCTGTTGAATAAACCGAGAAAGAATTGATATTTTCATCACATGGAGAATGCGAATTCTCAATGTTTTTCTTCATATATATCCATTTTTTTGTGTTCATAAATATATCTGAGAATGTTTCTTTTCAATAATCATATGAAATTTGAGAGACCAGTTGTATTTGGGAAGATTGTTTTTCCTCATTGATTTGAGAAAGAGACACATTTCACGAGTGAAAGTATTTCTACATGCTTCGATTGTGTTCATTTTCAATGAATATTGAAGCACTTCGCCCACGGCCGGAAATTTCAACATGTCAATGGACGCTTGTATCTGGTGTCATCACTGAACTATAACCTAAGAATGTTATTGTTCATGTTTTTGGAAAGAAAAGTTTTTATTCATCATACATTTCCTGTAGACTTGGCTCGTTTGGATTATTTGTTGCGTCCTCTCAATAGACGATGGTATCTGGTGTCATCACTGAACAATAACCTAAGAATGTTATCAGAGTAGAGAAATCTTTGAAACTCAAAATGAAATCTCTATATAACATGCTTATGTATATTATATTCGATGAGCATAAACATTGAAACAATGATTATTATTTTTCAAATTATTTATTGAATCGAATAAAATCTACATATTTTTCATTCAATATTTATTAATTAAGTCGAGCAGATGGCAGATATCAACTTTAATTTTCATCATTCATGATTATTTTCATGATTATATCTCTCATTTCGGAATAACTGGTATATTTGCTACTCATAATTATATCATATTATCATATATTGATAATAATATTAATTATTCAATTCGAGACTTATTGACTATATAAATAAATACAGCGTGTTTGTTCCACTTTGATTCTACAAATTCTTTGGCTAATTCTGGTGCAAGGTGTCTCGGATTTGGACACTTCTGATACAAGTTTGTTGTGATAGGCGATTTATCTACTAAGTTTACTTATACCTAAACATTCAATATCAGGACTTTCATCTGGCTATTTTCATTATCCTTATAATGTGTCGAAGGCTATTTATGATTGTTGAAAGTGGAGGTATTTATGCACACCGCTTTCTCATTGATCTTATGCTCATTGCCATTGTCATTAACTCATTAGCGCCGTGCTTTGCCATATGGCAACGCTAGTCAGGTGGAGATTCAAATAATTCTCTAGACCTCAAATTTTTAGCTATAAGGGTGATTGACAGCCCATATCGTTCGCAAATGAACCGGTTATGCACATGTCGCCAGTTCTTTGTTGTGGGTAAGCTCCGTAACAACACGGGATCTTGCTGGTACATTCCGCTAAGATCCTACAAATGTCCCAATGTTTCAGACTTAGGTACGATATCCCAGAGATGTTTCTCTAGGGACATTCATCAGATGTTTTCATTGGATTTTCTAGAAACATCCCATTTGATCTTTTTCTATAAACAATATCATGGTTCCATATTTGCTAATGATGATTGACATGATTGAACAGTTCAAACAATTGTGACATTTGAAACATTGAAAAGTTGGTAAAAAATGGAAATCAAAACTGTATTCGTACTCATATAACTTATACCTATACCAACGCCGGCTAATCTCATCGATAACAAATTGAAATAATTATACTCAATATGCCTCAATAAGATTTCGAAAGTACCTGCTTAACTTCATGAACCATGTAATAAACGACAAAATTGAAATATATCTCTTCAGCATATTTATTGCTGAATTTATTTATTATACCAGCCGATAGATGGCGGTACAACAACGTTGCTAAGAGTTACTAACAGCCGTCGGCCCAGCGTCAACAAATATGAGCCTCAAACAACTGTTATCATCTTCCATTAGTTATTGGACCGCGCACCGACCTTATATATATTCGGACTCGGATTGTCACTTTATATCTGGAAATAGGTCGGCCATTTTCAGGATATCAGATTGAAAATAATGCATACCGTGTCATCCATTACTGTCATAAAACAAAAAACATCCTAAAAGTCTCTTTAAGATGTTCCATATCGAGTACCCTGAATGTATCTGGTACATCCCGTATCATCCCACATTCTGATGGGATGTTTATAAGACATCGCAAATGCTGACACGGGTGTTGCCAGCAACATCCCCAGAATGTCCCAAGGAAAATAGGGATGTTTCTACGATGTCTTACAGATGTAATTGTGTTATTAGGGCTGGTCCGCCACGTGAATTTGTGAAACTGAGTTTATTTGAACTGACGTAAAACATGGACGACACATTCGTGTACGTATCTTTCATTTTTCACGCACTTATGATTTCGCGATATTTGTTTCCATTATAATGTTGCACAATCATGCTATGAGTTATATATGTGACATATTGAAAGGAAATTGCAGGAATGTTTTATGTGTAGAATATTTCCATCAAATATTCGTGTTGCTATCTGGCAACGCTAGGCGCTTATACTCAGCGAATGTGGTGACTCTCTGGCCGAGCCAATGGATGTTGAACCATTGGTCAGACAATCTGCTCTTCGAAATTCTGCTATTACTCCCATTTCACCATGTGAAGGGTTAAATAATTGGATGACTGAGCGGGAAACGACGAAGTGAGCTAAAATCTAATATTTTTCCCGTGTAATCAAATATCTGATGTCACTTCTGTCAGTCTAAATCTGTGATTTGAATAAAATAACTGCGAATTTAGTGGTTTTTCAGTGAAATACGTAACCGCGAAATCGAATGGAAGATAAAAGGACTTGCAGTTCTTTCTCGGAGACGGTATTATTGACTCATTTTTCGGAACTATAACACAACAAAAGCCATCAACAGTTTATATTTATATGTGATATATATCCAGGAAAAAAGTACTCACTTTTTTCCCATGGGGAAAAAGTAATTCATGAAAAGTGACATTTTATAAAGGTATGTTCCAATTGATCTTGATTCAGATTCTATCATTATTTTTTTTCGAAAAAAAAATCCCTAATAGTACTTACTGAAATATGGGTAATTGAAATTAGTCGCAGTTGGTCGTGATAACAGTTCAAGAATAAAATCACTATCTTGTTGGATGGACATTTCGAATACCTATCGAACAAAAAAATGTTTTTCGAAATCGGTCAGATAATAACGATTTTACAGGGGTGGTAAGTCCTTAAGGTGGACACACAGTATATACACTGTTGATGGCTTTTGTTGTGCTATAGATCCGAAAAATTTGCCAATAATTCCGTCTCCGAGGAAGAACTGCAAGCCCTTTTATCATCCATTCGAGTTCGCGGTTACGTAAATTACTTACTAAACAACCACTGAATTCGTATAGTTTCTCGAAATGCAATCTCATCATTAAAATGACATATATTTGATTACTTCAAAAGAATGATAAGATGCCTGCAAAAAGATTCCTGGAGAATTTCAAATTCCATATTGATAATTTTCGGATTTTTAAATAATGTAATATCTTCTCGTTCTTTTTCTAGTCACAAATAGAATAGTGGAATGTACACGAAAAAAATATTAAATTCTAGCTCACGGTTTTTTGTGTCCATCCGTCACTAGTTTTTAAACTCGTATAATAGATACATATTTTCGCGAACTCATCTACAAGTATGGAAAGCAAAAAAATATACATTCATCTATAAAACTTCCGAAGGAATTATCATTTCTGGTTGTTCACAAAATGTAAATACAAAAAATTCGGCATATTTGAACATTGATAGACTTCTTATATTTCCTTTCATTCCATTGATGTACTCAATAAAAGAGGAAAAAAATACCGGAGTTGAACGTGAGTTACTTTTGACGCTGGTGTCTTATACAGTGTGTCCCACTTACCATGCTCACCATGGGTATCTTTTTAACGGTGGGAGATACGAGGTCGGTTAAATGACACCAAATGTGGAGTTTGTCACGGCCAACTATAATGCGAAAAAATATTTTGATAAAATCTATTCGTTTTTGTTTTATACGCAAAAAACAGATTTTGATCATTTTCATGTCTCCTCCGTAACTTCTTTATTTATGAAAATATTCAAATGGAAATTTCACATTCTCATGGCAGTTTTCCATCAAAGTGATTTCGAAAAAAATAGGAAATTTATACCAACTCGTCTAGAATTTGAGATATCAGCACCAACTTTAGTTCTTCAATTGTAGGTCATAGCTCACTATGACTAAGTTACAAATAACTTTTTTTTATCTTACAGATGATATGTCGCAGTAATAGTTTTGTGTTGATAACAACGGAGTTATCGTCATTTATACAAGAACAAAAAATTATTTGGAAGCCGCCATCTTCAATTTATAAATTTTAACAAAAAAATCATGATCTCCGACCTCATAAACCCCCACTTACCAATTTTCAATGGAATCGGACCAAATCTTGTCCGCCATCTTAGAGCAGCAATTTTTTTTAATTTCAACAAAAATTCCATGATGTATTGTTACCGAAATTATGAACACCTGCCGAATTCCAAGTTAATCGGAGTTATGGAATTTTTGTTGAAATTTGAAAAAAACTACTGCTCCAAGATGGCGGACAAGATTTGGTCCGATTCCATTGAAAATTGGTGAGTGGGGGTTTTTGAGGTAGGAGATCATGATTTTTTTGTTGAAATTTCTAAATTCAAGATGGCGGCTTCCAAATACTGCGACATATCATCTGTAAGAGAAAAAAGAGTTATCTGTAACTAAGTCATAGTGAGCTATATGACCTACATCTGATAAACTAAAGTTGGTGCTGATATCTCAAATTCTAGGAGAGTTGGTATAAATTTCATATTTTTTTCGGAATCACTTTGAAATACTGCCATGAGAATGTGAAATTCCCATTTGAATATTTTCATAAACAAAGAAGTTACGGAGAAGACATGAAAATGATCAAAATCTGTTTTTTGCGAATAAAATAAGAACGAATAGATTTTATCAAAATATTTTTTCACATTATAGTTAGTTGGCCTTGACAAACTCCACATTTGGTGTCATTTAACCAACCTCGTATCTCTCACCGTTAAAAAGATACCCATGGTGAGCATGGTAAGTGGGACACACTGTATTGTAATAGAGACATCTGGTGTTAAAATGCGAACTTCTGATAGTGTTTGTAGAAAAAACCTTCATCAAGATTCCTATGTGACTAGGTTATTAGTAATCAGATCATTTGTTCTCTCTGGTCTTGACTTCTTCATCAATTTTCCTCCATCTGTCTAAATTCTTATGGCACATATCGAGAAGAGCCTTGGTCTCCGGTATAAGGGTATACAGGAGGTTGTAGCAAGGTATACATATTCCCGTCAAGAAACCGACTTGTGTTGATGGCTGCTGATCCGGCTGGTTCCTGTCCATCATTGGAATTGGCAGTCTACCAGCAGCCTTTTCGGCATCACCTTGGTCGTAAAATTCCTCGAAAATTACCTAAATGAAAAAAACAATGTTACATTTTACACCTCTTTGAGCGCAAGAAAAAATATCTCTATTATGCTCCAACAACATCGTGCGTGTACCTAATAGGAAAGTAACTTTTAGAGATTATATAATCCAAGGATTTTTTGGGATGTACTGACTGTCGTGGAATTATAACAGAGATTTCTGATGAACATTGGCCGTGGAAGTATCTTCAAAAAAGTGAAAGGTCGCCGAACTTTCTGAGGTGTTCCAATTATGTCAAAGTTTAGTGAGTGTGTCATCACCCACCAGGCGAATGGCTCTTGTCTGGATGTAATCTGAGAGCATCAGAGTGAGTTTGGGTGCTGAACCACATATGTGAGAACAGTATTCTAGAACAGGTCGTATCTCCTTTTGGCGAATAATTCCAGAGCTTTGCCGTTCTACAGACAATAGATATCTACATGACCTATTAGGGAACGTGTGATTTTGTGTAACGATGACAGTTACACAAAATGCGTTTCCTGACTATATTCTCGTGCAATATTTTTTCTGATTTTGATGAAACATTTCTACATAACAGTTTTACATAAATACTGTCTACATAAGTTATACCGATTGTGTACAAGATTTAGTAGGTGAGTTGACTTCGCCCTTCACTTTGAAGTATCTGTCAAACAATAGTATAGTCACAAATCAGCGACAAAAATCTTGGAATAGACGCGTTTGATATCTTCATTAGCGCAAGCGCGTCATTTCAGTGTATCTCACACAGATCCATTGAATCAAATCTTGTGCTATACACTGATTATATTTTGAGTGCAATGGACCGCCAGACTCAGGTTGACTCTGTGTACACCGATTGTAAGGCATTCGATAATATTCTAATTCATGAATTATCTGAGATCGAGGTGCACGGGGACCTTCTGAAATGGCTTTCTTCATATTCATTCATTGTTCATTATTTTTATGAATGTTGTCTCAGATTGCTTTAGTTTTTCCAGATTTCTAATGTATGCCGATGACATCAAAATTCATGTCAGTGTAAATTGTAAATCTTATTGCAATCTATTACAGGAGGATTTGAATAGATTTCATAATAACTGCATCAGAAATAAACTTTTACTAAACCTGAACGAATGTTGTTATATTACTTTCACTAGAAATATTATCACCTTCTCCTATGATTACAACTTTAATAGTGTTACTCTCAATACAGTGAAAGAGATTAAAGACTTAGGGGTAATTTTTGATACAAAATTGAATTTAAACCAGCATTTAGACCGTTTAATTGCTTCCTGTAACAAAATGCTAGGTTTTATTATCAGATGTTGCAAGTATTTCAAGTCCACTGCAGCTTTGAAATCATAATATTTCGCATTAGTACACAGCAAACTGAACTTTGCATCAGTTGTTTGGAATCCACACTATAACATACATAAAACAAATTGCTCAACTACAAGGCAAATGGTGCAGATGATCTCTCTTCAAGAGATTTAATAACGACATTCCCCCCTATACAAAATGTTCAGCGTTTATAACAGTTTATTTCTTGATGTGGACATATTTCACTTATCTATGTATAGTTTCAGAACTGCAATACGTAGCATTCTGTCATAGATCTTGTTATAGATGCCATTTATTTTTCTTCTGTATCATAAGAAATTTTAACATAGGATCCTAGGTTACATTTAAACTTAGTTGAAATCTGTACTAAGTATTTTGTGAATGGGCTGTGCCTGTTTGCATTCCTACTAATCAATAAATGAATGAATTAATATATAAATACTAGGGGGAGCAAGGAACTGAGAGAAAATTTTGTGCATGTTGTAAAATACGCCGCAGTCGAATTTTCATTGGAGTTGAAGGTCAAATGCCTTCAAATTATGAATAAGAATTCTTGAAGAGACAGAATTATCTCGAATATTCAAAACATCGTGATAATACTTATGGAAACAAGTTTCCATCAGAGTTTGTAACAACTCTTACCTTGACAGTTTTAGCCTGGATTTTCCAGGGCTTGGCACTGGCACTCAAATCGCTACCAGTCATAGCTATAGCTTGTATCAACATCCTATGTTCTGCGTCATTCCAAGAAAAACTTCCTATTTGTACGATCTCGGTTAGTTTGGCTTTATTGGGAAAGAACACAGCCAAATCTGTTGCAAGGATGCAATGCTTTAGTAGACTCAGAACTTGTTTGTAGTCATCATTCTGCAGTTTACTGAAGATATTATGGCCTTCCTGAAACATCAGAATATTTCCATTCTCGTTCATGAACAATTAGGTGAAATAATCATATGTCTATGAACGAACAGAGAAGATCTATTCACACCATTAACCAATTTCACTCCTCTAATCCTAGACTTCTTATATGATATCTGAAATTTTCTCGAGAATTCAATTATTCACTTCAGCAGGCGTTTAATAAACCTATTCTAGGTGATTCTGCATTTGGCAGACTAGTATATTACATAAGCAAAGTTTCAGTCTCCACTGAGCACATCTATGAGATCACCCCAGATGACCGTGTTCTGTGAAAAATACTATGATAAACTCTAGCTGTTTGGTGGGGCTGGCTGTATATACCTTCTTGACTCTATTATTTGAATGGTTGATGAACCAAACTTTCCAGTCTCTTGTTATTATTACTATTATTTCCCTGAGCTCTGTCATTATATGACATTTGCTTGCTCCACAGTCAAAATTCAGAACCGAAGAATGCAGGCTGCAGACTCTGTACCATTTTTCACAAGGCGATCAGTTACTCCATTCCCTTGAATTGATTCATGCCCTGAAACCCACATGAGTGACTCAATTGTTTTTGACCAATTGCATCCTGATATAGCATTGCTTCAATGCATTCAACCTTCAAGAGTCTGCAATAGATATTATTTGCATTTGATGTAGGAAAGATAAACAGACAAGTCCATCAGTTCTTCGCAGAGTTGAACTTATTAACACTGTGAAATTGTCGTAACTCAGATGGTTCTGGTATGCATTTTTGAGAACAAACGGCAGGTCCACCACGTGTCGCAACACAGACATTGCTTCTACTTTATTTGTCAACTAAAGAGCACTCGCTTGGCAATTTTTGCAAGAGAATTTTCAGTATTTCATCACCCAACCAACATTCATTCCGAAATGAAGAGAATTGTTTTTCGAAAGTATAACAAACAATCCCTTGAATCAAGAAAACATAAAAATGTGCCATGAAGGCGGAACAGCAAATCAAATATGAAACAAGTGAACAACAGAAACATGATAATGGGTTTCTTGATATATATACGTCATGTATTGGGCAGCAGAACCAGAGTCGGGGAGATGTCACACCACCAAACTGGCATAGTGCCACTTCGGAAGTCAAATAATGAATGCCAATTAATGACTGCCGAATGAATGCATGTTGAAAAATAATTGCATGCCTCATCGATTCAGGTACTATTTATATCTGAAATCGATGCTAGGTTCGCAATTTTCCGCAATGAAAATGCCGATACCAAACGGTATAGCTTAAGCTTACCTAGGTAGTTTCGCACGGTAAGCGTTTCTGCAAGTTTTACAGAAACTAATGTCTATGAACTCCGCTGACCTGATCGAAACTACACTGTACAGGATGTATCAATTTAGAAAATATAATTTATGATTGATGATCTTGAAATGAACAAGAGTTTGAGTGATGTTATTCCATAAGCATTTGTACTTCTTAAACATATCGTGAGACAGCTCCAGTTGAAAATAATTATGCGATATTATTTGATGGTTGAACATCAACAATAGAAAAACTGGGCGGTGGATTGTTATGTTTACCTGTTGCAGAATGACCACGGTCTGGTTGAAGTGATGGTGTTCCATTGTAGATGTAGAATATATGGCCGCAAGGGGAGATTCTGTTTCCAACATGAATTTGTTATTTTTTCCTCTGTGGTCCAAGTCATGACACAGTGCACCAACGTACAAAGCCAGACACTATGGATAAAAAATAAACTTCAAACTTCTCACACAAATTTCAGTTGAATCAAGCAGAAAAATCGTTCTCCTTCGTGATATTATGTGCCCATTCAAGTTGTATATTTCTAGTATGTACTGGAAATAGCAATAAAGGAGAAGGAAAAATGAAAAAGGATGGCACAATCGATAAAATATATGAATACCATATGATACTACACACACTGGCACAATTAGGGGAACAGTCAAAATTTACACTTAGTTTGACATCAATTTGCTCTCGAACCTATCGCTCCATTTAAATTTTGTTTTCACGAATTGTAGCTATATACAGGGGTGTAAAGAAAGTACAGTTTTTCGGTATATTTTAAGACATCTTGTGGAGTGAACCATTGATAATTGAAACGGTTTCTCAACATCAAATTGTAGCCCAATCTATCCCGAATATGCCTATATATATACGAGATGTTCTTCAACAGCATGTCATATACCATTCGCCCCTCATATCGGAGAAAACTTCTTGTTAATGCACGATAACGACCGCCCTCACGTGGCTCGTTCAGTCTCCAACTTTTAAAATACAATCGGAATAAGAGCATTGGCCTGCATGTTCGCCAGACCTCATTCCAATCGAACATGTATTGAACATGTTGGGTAGACGATTAGGGTCCAGAATTCCCGCTGTACAAAATCCCGAGCAAGTAGCAGCAGCTCTGCTTGAGATTTGGGATAATCTTCCTCAAGAAATGATCGATAATGTCATCGAAAGCATGAGCAGACGAATGACTGCTGTAATAAGAGTTGTTATTGAATGAGGGCTTTGAAAAGAAATCTTGTCACTTATAGACTAATAAGTGAAAATGAGAGCAATATTCAATTTGAAGGGGAAATTATCTCAGAAACAACGTAGAAAACGACACATTTTCAGATCCAATTCGAGTTTCGAGGTGGTAAAATTAATACCAATATCCACCTTTCCTATGATACTCTGTATTTTCTTGAATAATTGAGATATCAAGATGAATAAAGAACGAGAATATTCGAAATAGATAGGGCTACAATTTGATGTTGAGAAATCGTTTCAATTATTCAATCAATTATTAGTGGTTCACTCCACAAGATGTCTTGAAAATACCGAAAATTCTGTACTTTCTATACACCCCTGTATATAATATGAAGACGAATCGTTTGGAGGTATTCATTTCTCAAATGTTTTCGTAAAGAATGAAGCTACAATTCGTGAAAAAAAAATTGAATCGAGCGATCTGTTCGAGAGAAAAGTGATGTCAAACTTAGTGTAAATTTTGCCCGCTCCCCTAATTGTGCCAGTGCGTGTGAATCATTGTGCCTACCTCATTCGTATTGAAAGCTCCCTTGGAATGCTTGATGATACAATACATGCTATTAGCCACCGAGAACCCATGTGTCCAGTTGTGATAAGGTACTCTCCTATAATTCTTCCTAACTGTCAGAATGAATTTGAGCAGGCACTCTTCATCGAACGTTTGTAAACCGAATAAATCGCTGAACATGTACATGGCATGCCTAGCCTTTTCCAGATCTTTCAGCTCGAACGGATTGAAATAGTAACTGTCAACCCCTGGAAGGTTCTTGGGGATTCCAGTTTTCACGGCAGCTTGGTATTCTCCTTCAGTGCACGTATTGTGGTAGCTGAGAACGTCCAGTGCAACCTTTGGGAAAAATGTCTGCCTGTGTTACAAAGTTTTTCCAATATCACTGCAACCTCTAAGATTTCATCAGCCTCCCAATACCTGATGAGCTAAATATTTTCCAAACCTAGAGAGCTTCGGCTACCCACATGTATGTCCAATTGACGTACAACGTACGTCCACTTCGGATCGTTAGGACGTCCAACGGACGTACTCGTATTGCGACGTTCAAGGTCCAATGGTCGTACGACCACTGGATGTCCTGAGGACACCACTTTGGACGTACAATGGATGTCTGTACTTGGACGAACAATGGATGCACATCTTTGTACTCACCAAGGATATCGATATCTGAGCATCCATTGGACATACCAAATTGTTCGTTAAACATTCAATGAATGCATCCAATTGGACATCAAATGTCCAATGGATGTCCTGGGGACACCACTTCGTACGTACTGTTGATGTTTTTATGTGAACGTATAATGGATGCTCATTGCTCATCTTTGGGGATCAAGAATACGGAAAATCAGTATGTAGCAATCATTCTTCTATTCATATATATATTCATTGTCAATTGCATATATATGAATATATCGTTATTTCATGTATTCTTCAGGTAACTTTGAATTATTGTTTTTGTAAATAGAGATGAATATTATAAGTTGCTCTATGGGTATACCGTAGTCGATGCTAACAGCTTTACAGTGTAGAAATTGATTTTCCATATGCCAAATCCTGTTCAGCTCATCTCTGACTGGTGAATGAAACCTTATTCGAAACAATATCACATTGCTAGGTACTTCTTCTTCCAAGTCGCCCATAAAAAATAAATAAAAACTTGTGAAGGTTGACAAAGCATAAAATGATAACTGATAACTATATATCAGCTATATGCAGACACAACATGCATGCTTACATACTGCTGCGAATGATCTGGTCCTGGATATTCTTCATTTCATTATGATTCATCACAAACCTAATACATCATGTTCACGGTCATTTACTACGTGACAATGGCGGCACTCCAGTCGTTACTCTCGAGCTCGTCTTGTTCACAGACCCTTTGAATACCGACTGATCCGACCTTCAATTCTTGCTTTCCCTCTTTCGTGGCAGAAAAATAAATGATCTAACGTCTATCTCTGAACGCACAATGGACGTTCATTTAACGTCCAAAAACCTTCAGACTTGGAATGAATTCGGATAGATCATCAGTTTGAACTTTTCTTCAAATTCTATTCGTTATCCATGAATACTTGAACTAAGAATGGCCGTTGAATGGACATTCAATAGAAGTTCCATTTGTATCATTCAATGCACGTCCGTCTTCCTACGTACAATGGATGTTGATCAACTGTCCATGAGAGTTCAGTCCTTGAGTTGACGTGAAATGGATGTCCAACGGACGTTGATTCAGGAAGATATATTGTACGCCCATCGTTATTGGTACAATGAATGTACATTATACACTTACACGTACACGTACATTGATTGTCTATTCGATACCCATGGACGTTTGGAATTGAAATGGACCTGAAATGAACGTCTGATGGATGTCATGTACTGTGTGGGAGTGGAGATTGGTAATTCTTCGGATCTGTGGGAAGGATAGTTGATGAACTGATCTGCTTATCACCAGCTTGAAGTAGTGCTTCAGGCAATCTATCATCAGCCTTCCTATCTTCCTCAACTCCTAAAGGTCCTGGGAACCACGACAAAGTGATTCTTGAATTCTCCCAGTAATCAGTGTTTCAAGGCAGTACCTGAGTAATTTCAAAAACCACATATTCTTATGAGGCAAGAATACATGTCTTGACAGTGTTATGCTGGATAGACGTCAGCTGCAGAATGCTTTCAAAATGTCTAAGAAATAAGATGGACAAGTCACAGGAAATGCATACAGACTGTATCGATACGGAAGAGCTATAGAAGAGAAAACCAGAAGCTGTACTATACTAAAATGAATCAGACTCAGACATCTCGAACGAACTTGTGGAAATTAACCCAGCTGAGATGCACCTTAAGGCTGTATCACACCTGTTAAATTTGATGACAAATATGATAACAAAAATATTTTCTATATGTACAGTATGAATATTATTTATAATATCAAAATATTTAGAACCAGTCCTATATTTTCACAGAATGTTTGCAAAATTGCGCAAAATCAAAACCTTTTTCACTGTATGACACATAACAAATTTTTGACATAATTTTTGTTAACATTTTTTTCATCAAATTTAACAGGTGTCATACAGCCTTCAGAAAACCCAGATGCAAGTCCTGTGGAGAAAAATTAAACCGCGGGTTTTGAAGTCATCATAAGATATCTTAGGATGTTTGGGAGCGAACTAGTAGAAAAATGGATATAGCCACAGAGAGAAACCTCATCAGGCATGGCAAAAAATGAGAGCATATGAGAGATCTCAGAGGTCACAGGTCACAGTGCAGCTAGTAGGTATGAGCGTCACCTTATACTTTTGTTCGGATTTCCTTATTTTATCGTAAAGTTTCGCATGATGCAACGCCAGACCACAGTAGATAGCGAATGTTTCGAAAGCTTCTTCATCATCCTTTGTGAAATATCCATTGTGCTTGTTCACCATCTGAACGACACCAATGATATATCCTCTGATATATATGGGCATACAGAGAATAGTTTTCGTAGTGTAGCCTGGAAATATTTTCGAGAACCATCATTTTATATGATGTATAACATTCCATGGATGAATATGGAAATTTGAAGAACTACACTCCCCCAAAATATTAACGCACCACCAAAAAGTATCCAAACGTTTGAGATACATATTTGTCAAAAGATTCAACATTACTAGTATGTGATTCAGCCAGAAACCTTGGCATAGTGTTAGATGTAGATATGCGTTTCTCTCTTTATATCAAGAGTATTATAAGCAGAGATTATAGTGCCAGCCATTTTCTCAGTGTTAAAATGAAGCGAATTTCATGTGAGTCATTGGATCTCAGTCACTTCAACTATTGTGATTAGATCTATGGTCCATGCTTAACTATGGTTGACAAGGAAAAGATTCAGAAAGTGCAAAACAGCTGTTGTTGACTTATTCATAGAATCAGAAAATATGATCATATATCTCATAAATTTCAAGAATGTAACTGGCTCAACATGGAAAACAAAAGACAGCTCCATTAAGGTAATTTCACATATAAACTCCTCAATGATTCTAACCCACCGGCCCTGGTGCGAAATTTCATTCCTAGATCCAGAATACATTCAAAAAATGTCAGGAAAACGTCCACTCTGACCATGCCCCAACACAGAACTGCGATATTCAAAAGTCATTCCTATTTCATGCTATCCAAATGTACAATCAATTGCCGGATGAATTCAAAAAAATAGAATATGAATAAATTCAAATATAAATTAGAAAATGATTCACTTCAAACAAAGCGGAATCGTTCTCAACCGCCTCTGTATACAACAGAGATTGTTTATTTACCTAGCATTAAAAATTGTATCCTCATCTCCGTTTTGTGATATTGATATTATATAAGTGTGCACTCTTTCACCCTTTCATTTCATGAATTGTACTGATTCTATGAGTTTCAATAATCCTACATTTTCGGTCTGACCAACATAGCCAAAATATTTATACTGAATACTTTTAGATTTATTACTGTTTTTCCTCGGTATATAATATATGGATATTATCTTTATTGGTCATTGGCCCCCTGTTGGTTAATTAGAATATCTTTGAAAGCTAGACTTCGCTATCAGTTTCATTGAACTATAATTTATTTATGTTTATATTGGAATCGAAAATAAAAATCGTGAATTATCATTATTTTTATTATTATTGAAAAATCTACTTGCCCGATTTGGACGTTTTTTGTTTTGAGGAACAGGTCTCCTTCTGAATTTTGGCGTACGAACTGTTTCCGCATAATAGCCTCTATTTCATCGATAGGGGCTGTAGCAAATGAAGTGTAATATCCTGTAGAGTCTAATAGTACCACTATCAAGTAAAAATTGGAATATCTGCCTCTTCTTTCTTCAACGATAATTTTTTAATTCACTCCATTATCCTTCCTATCACTCCATGAACATAATTTCATTGCATAACATAATTTCATCAAATGGCATTACCTTTATGAGCACGTGAATAACAGGAATTTCTGTGTCTGGTCGCATAGAAATTATGATCATGAATGAAATCCGAGAAGTGAGAAATTATCTCTAGGACATTAGAGACAAGATTACAAGAGGATCGTAACTTGAAAACTTTTGATGACGCGCGGCATAGACTGACTCAAATTTGGGAAGTCCTGGACCAATATGACATAAGGTTTCCTATATTAAGTACAGGCCGTCTTTGCCAAGTGGTTGAACTTGCCCGAGACCGAAATACTCGCTAATGACCCTTTCGTTCAACTTGTGATTTCGCATTCTGTTTCGTTTTCTAGTTGTTGAATTGATATATCCATTTTTTGAAAAAACATGTTAGGAAAGGTAATGGTGTGAATTCAAGGAAGGAATATGAAGCAAGACGAGGCTGAGAAGTGATTCTTATTCAAACTTGATTTACACTATCAAGTTTGAATTGAAGTAACATTATTACACTCTACAGGGTATTACGAATTCCATAAAGAAAACACGCTATAGTTGCTGCATCCAGTATGTATAGAAAAGAGGATGGATTTAATGCCAATACAGTTTACATACCATTGTTCAGCAGGAGATGACCTGTCATTGAAAACAGAGAAAGTCTTCTAAATCAAACAGATAGTTTTGAAGAAAATGTATCTCAAACTTTTGGCAACTTTTTGGTGGGGCGTTGATTTCTTGGAGAAGTGTATATCTTGATGATTCACCAAGAAATGCATTTGAACACAAGCTGGACGTAATCATCACCTGTGAACTGGTCCACTGCTCTATTGAATCTCGAATCAGAGTAGGCGTCCCTGATATTCAGTATCTCCCCTGTGAGAGCCACGTGTCCCGCTATGCCAGTTCCCAAGGCAAAGCGGATTTCCTTGGAAGTGTACATGCCGATGTTATCCTGATCCTCGCTGATTACGGAGCCCAGCATGTCAGGTGTGCCTGCAGTTTCCACACCCACATCGAATATGGTGGAGTAAAGCTCTTTGGTTCTTGGGTCCACTTGAAATAGAGAGGCTCTATCAGCGTCTACCAGTCGCTGGGCGAAATTCATTATTTTGATGACCAGGGAGTCGATGCTTATCATGTCCTGGAAGATGGACCTGAAACAATAACCGAATCATGAGAGTGAGAGGATGATAGATTATCGATTGTGAAGATCCATTTTTTCAATCTTTCAGAAATTTCTTTGAATTTCTGGAGCTTGTGAAATCTTGATTAGTATCACACTCAGAGTAGCTCAATACAGTGAGCAAATATCATCACAATAATTATTACTGCACTGAGATGAATCTTGCTATTGAAGTTTTTACTGAGATATTTCTTGCCACTTTAAAAAGAAATTTCGCTGATTCTCCCTCTCTTTGATCATAATATCAGACATCTTGCGTCCCAAAGACATGTTCAATCATCATTCATTCCCACAGTGGGGCTACTGATGCAAACTCATGTACAGGACGCGACAATATCGACGACCCACAAGTTACGAATTCTCTTCATCTTTACAATTCGATTCATTATTCAGAATCTGAATCAGAATTCAAATATAGTATGAGAACATTTTCAAACAAATATAACATTTTTTGTGACCCTTTAAGTGATCGTAGTTCTGAGTGCTTCAGTTATTACCAGGGTTTATGAAATGGTGAAGGTGAGTTTGTTCAAGGTATTTTCACTGAAATAATAATATTTCACATTCAATATTTCCTTTATTTCTGGTCTAATGAAAATTTGAGATGATTGTCAGATCATTTCCAGAGCTTCTTCATAGAATGTGGTCTTAAAAACGAATTGTGAGCAGAAATGTTCATGCTATGGAATTATTTGAATGATTTCACGGGTGAACATTCTTTATCTGTTCGCATGTGTAATAACTTTCTAAGTTTTCAAAATACATTGGCTTCGAAAGTATTCAGAAGAAATATGTAATTTATTAATTATTCAAAAACCTTTCGCTTTTCCAGAGGAGAATCAATAAATATCTATTGAATTTCGTATACTTAGATCTTTGCTCCGAAATTCTCTTCAGACATCTATGAATCGCTTTGTGTACTCACATTTTGGAAAGTCAGAACAAATTTCACCTATTTTCATGACATCCATCCTGAAACAACTGAATAACTACATCAGCAAGATACCTACTACAGAAACATTTTCTAATAACCATATGCAGATTCACTCGCTAGTGGCAGCAAGGTGCGATTTCTAATAATCAGCGAAGTCAACTTTATAATCACAGGTGATAACTCACTTGTCCCCTATGCTATTAGAGTTTTCACTGGGATGATTCGATTTCTAACTATGGTTAATAAAAATTCTCCTCAGTGTGTAAGCACTGCCGTTTACAGTACCAGAGAGGTTTGTTTGAAATACACTTTCCGTTCAGGTTTCTGAATAAGACTACTCTTCCGAGCCCTGGTCCCCATCCATGGAAGAGACCAACAGTTCTTCTTATCCTACTAGAGGTTGTTTACTCTGAGATAATGATATATGATATCACCTTGTTTCCTATAGGTCCAGTTGACGCCACCATATAGGTTACCTCGGTGCCATTCATCCCTCATCACGGGTTTCCACAATATGGATGAGGATGAATTGATTTGAATGATTCGAACAAATATATCCACAAAATGTTCCATCTGCCAAGCAGCCATGGCTTGCCCTCTAGAGATTGAAGAGTGAAGAGTAGTTTATCAACCAAGACAAGATGGAACATGTTGAGAGATTGAATCAATATCATCTTCAGTGGTGCACATTTGAAGGGCTATAGCTCTATTGGAAATCATTTTTCAATTCAGTTCTATAAAAACTTATTCATCATTTTTCATTAAGAATCGACTATCAATGCAGGGCACGTATATTATAACACCGCTCTAGATTTTGATGAGCTCCAAATTTCTTGTTTGTTAGGGTTGATATCTATTCCAATACTAATCAATCAAAGTGGAAAAGATCGGAAAACGATACTACCCCGTGACAAAAAGGTTTCACAGATGTCAACTAGGAGTTCCACAAACGAGTGAGTATTCCGTGCTCAAAGCAGATTGTCGAAAGTTGAAGGAAATCTCATTGTTTTTTTCTCTCCATACTAACTTTGATCTATTATTTGAATATCACTCACTTGACTACGGCTAGGAGAAAATCATTCAGTTGCCTTTGCTTGTTCATATTGAAATATAGGTGGGCATAATGAAGGGCAATTCCACCCCACATCAAATAGCTACAGGCGATCTCTTCATCTTCTTCATAAAACGGCCCTTGAGCGTCGTCTCCTCTCCAGAGTTCCAGAACAGCAATCAATTTTCCATCAGACTGCATTATGGGATGACACTGGATATGGACCATAGAAGATGATAGCTGAAAGCAGTTTCATGATTACAAGATGAGTATAGATGAATTATTATTATTCCTCTCACTTCATCCATGACTGTATCAGGAAAACGGGAGTCAGGTTTCCCTCGAGAGAGTCTAACTGGTTCCCTATTTCTCGCTACGTATGCTGGGATACTGACTCCAGTATTTGTGCGTTGCAGTTGTGGCGAAGTGCTAGCTTCTGAAGGCTCTACACCAGGGTGTAAGTACAGTTCGTCTGGATCACCTTTCTCAGCAACGTACAACCTGCGACATTATGATTTATCACGTTCAATAATGTCATGCAGCATGAATCAGAAAATCAACTTTTTTTCAAAATATAGTGAGTATTTCTTCTAGATATCAGGGAATGATAGATATCGTTGAAGTGAGTAGGAGTATGATTCATATTATTTTATATATTATCAGACACAAGGGTAGGTACAGTCGATTTTTCAAAACCTGCGGCATCTCCCCAATTGCTTCGAGTGCTTTTACACTTATGCTAGTAGTCTAACAATGCCAGCAAATGGATTAAGTTAATCATATCAATCGGGATGTGTAGATGGCAGTTGAGTTCATCATTTGGAATTCCATGTATATATGTTGAAATTGTATACTCCAGAACTCACCTATCCCCTATTATAGAATAAATTGATTCATTATTGATGGATGCTCCGATCAATACATTATGATTCAATATTGTGCAACTGCCTCCTCAAATAAATGCTCAAAGTATTTCTACATGAAATGAAGAAGTGTTTGTACCCAAAGAAGTACTATCAGGTGCATGATAGTACATCTGTTCAGCTAACTATACTAAGCACTTTGTACTTGATGTTTTTCCACAGAGTACTGTCCTTGTAAAATATCAGAGGAAAAAACATGTATGAAAGCCATTCCTTCGTATGTTAGGCGAAATTATTACTTTTGCTGATGAAGTGAGGAGGTTTGGACTCCATTTCGACATTTTTCGAAGTGAATTTGGAGAGTACTTTGTATATTGATGATGGAAATGAAAATAAAGTGGGATAGTGTGCGACGGTTGGCAAGAGAAAAAAAATAACAGATGAAATTGGCCAGAAGACAGAAATAATTAAAAAGGTCTCGGATCGGGACAGAAGAATAAGGAGTATCAACGGTGTTGGAGATCGTTTGGAAATCAAGAATAAGAAGTATCAATGGTGTTGGAGATCGTTTGGATCCTTATCCAAACATTGTGTTGAGAGGGGACGGAGCTTGGACAAGTTTAGCGCTATTATAGCTATATTCCTACGGAGCACTTTCAGAAGACCTGTGATTGACTGATTGAACTCATTCTCTGAATCCCTATGTTAGGTTTCCGTAGTACATGAGGCTGTTGCAATACTGTGTTTGTAATTGGTAATAAACCTACAGCTTCCGATATTCTAATGCTCGTTACAAATTTCATTACCTGAAACCTTCAGCACCAACTGCTGAGCATATACAGTTCGCAAGTTCCCATAGAACGTGATCTTTTGCTGGTTGGTTTTGTAGGTTCTTTGTGATTTCCTGGAGCATTTGACGTTTGTCGGCATGAACACAGAACTTCCATCTGGAACAACTTTTGTTATAATCGAATTTATGCTGCTGATAGGGTATTCAACTATCAGAGATGTCTTGTGTATCATCAGTTTTGCTGGATAGATCATCGAAGCACATAGACATTCCTTGTCAATAACATGTTTTTGCTTTTAGACAAATTTAATAGACAAGAGTGTCTCATAGGCTTTTGTAACTGACGTTTTGAGTAGCTTTGAATCACACATTCACTGGAATTTCATATGAGTCAACATCAAACTGATGGGACAACTATAGAGAACTCAAACTCGAAAAATATATTGCCCCACGTTGGGCGCCATTTAAGTAACCCTAATTTACTATATTCTAGAATTCGAAAAATATGTTGATGCACCACAGCATCATTTCACCAGGAATTTTGAATAGTTGTGCATTCAGATTAATAAATAATCAATATTTCAGAGCTGATACTTACACTGCAGAGCTCTGGAATTCTTTGCCTGAAGAGATTTTTTTTAACGCTTGTAGCGCAGGAAAGGGTATCCCTGTAATGTTCGAAGAACCTCGTGCGTTCGTAGGGAGGATAGGGAGAGGAGGGCGGAGTTGGAATTTTGTTTGAACTTTTGGTGATTATAAGTTTTTGGGAATACCTCCTCAGGCAATGAATTCCAGAACTTTGCCGTTCTATAGAGAAACGAGTTTTGATGAAGTGCTGTTCGACATATTTCGATGTTGACAAGAAAAGGATGTGCTGACGGCGCATGTCGAGTCCGTCTGAATGGAATTGCTAGTCGTGGAATGATAGCAGAGATTTCGGAAGAACATTTCTCGTGGAAGTAGCTTTAAAAAAGTGAAAGGTCGCCGACTCCTTTACGGTGTTCCAGTGATGTCAAAGTGTTAGTGAGTGTGGAATCTTCCACAAGGCGAATAGCTCTTCTCTGGATGGAATCTAAGAATATCAGAGTATTTTTGGGGGCTGAACTCCATATACGGAAATAGTATTCTAGAACAGGCCGTATTCGTGCTTTGTAAATCATGAGAAGCTGGGAAGAGATAAATTTCAGAAATTTCAGTCACAAGAGTGACATAGTGGAATGCATACGTTGATGAACTCGTGGAAAAACAACATGGAGTTATGGGAGAGTCAAATTTGTTTTGGAATAAAGGTCCTGTCACATGGACTAAAGATAATGAAATACCTGGAGAGGCTGGTTTTTCGAATAGCGTTTTGTGGGTCACTTTTCTTCTTCATTTTTCTTATAATCCATCGCTCTAGCTGCTGAGTTTCTATGTTTTCCATGACATACTTTTCCAACAATTCAGGATGTTCAGATATATATGTAGTGACCAGATCATCTGAAATCATACATTATTCCAACTGATGTCAACTTTTATCTCAGTCATCAAAGCAGCAGGTCCAAGAATGTTCTATGTATAGGGTAATCTACATAAGTATTTGTAGAATTATTCAGTGGGGTTTTCTTAGCGAATGAAGTTTATATAATTTGAAATTAAATTCAACAAATATTTTGATTTCTTCGGTGCAGACTTATACATATATCTCTTTTCGGTACCTTGCATGAATTACCTGATGAAATAATCATCAATTCAAATGTGAGAGAAATGGGCGAGAATTCATAGGGTGTTACGGAAATTCTGTCATGTTTCCTTGAATTCATCAACAACTTTTCCGTATGGAACCTGAATCATTATTGACTGTGAGTACGAACTATATAAGAACTATATTAAATAGAAACTGTTTGCCTTCAACTTGCAGTTTGGATAGATTTTTGGACATTCACGAAATATTTTTACTGATAACTGAACACAAAGAATCAAGATATTATTTGAGAATGAACTCATTATTCATACCTGTGATGGTAGTGTTCTGGTGAAAATGATGCTTTGAGTGATCTCCATCAGTATCCATTCTAGAAGATCCTGAAACAAAAATAGGTATGACTTTTGTTATCTGCAGGTACAAAATCTTTTATATTGCGATTCAAACAACCGAAATGATTCGAGAGTATGTATAAATAAACTATCGAAGACTGAAACCTTTGGCACGATAATACACTTCACTGTTTTACCACTAACCAAACCGAATTTGTAACTCCTCGACACGTGTTTCGCTAACTATGTTAGCATCTTCAGGAGAAGATTAAAACTGAGAGTATATAGAACGGCAAAGGTTTTTTGCCAATGGAAATATTTGTAAGAAGTTGTAATCTTCGAAAGATCGAAACAAATTCCAATTTCTACCTTCTTTCCCTATCGTTCTTGGGTACGCACGATTATCTCCAAACATTATAGGAATTCTCTCTCATGCGCCCCAAGAGATGAAAAATTATTAATGACTTATTATTATTTCGAAAATCTGACTACGCCACTGGATCCTACGGGAAGAAATGCATAAGGAACTGTTTTCACCTCTTCTGTTAGTTGAAAGATAGCTGAGATACAGGAAGGTCCGAAAATATAACAATCACAATTTCGCCCTGTATCCCAAAAACGAAGCAGGCTATGAATATTTTGTTTACGGTATCGTGAGTTTCACAGAAAAATTGCAGAAACCACAGATCTCTATCTTAAATAATAAGTGAGGTATACCGTAAGGACATCGGAAATGGGACAGCTTGCACATAATATAAATATGAAATGATATGTTGCAGTATTTTACAATCGAACATTCTGAGGTTGCCGTGTGCAACTTTACTTTCGATTGTTCATAGACAAACTTGCTGTTTCTGTGAAATCATCGCACTCTACTGTTGTGGTGCGACATCTGTGCGTCTCTGCCTGAACTATGGCGTGTCACTGCAGTGCAGTTTTTTGTATCATCTGAATCTCATCCTGATGATTTACGGTCCGATAGAAGACGGTGTCGACGAATTACGGTTTCTATGAAATACGGTGCTGCTCAATTACCAATTCTATGAATGTTTATCATGAAAGATTATTGTTGATGAAATACGGGTCTGATGAATTATCATTTCTATGTAATAGGAATCCGATGAGAAACCGTTTTGATAAAATACGGGTTTGACACATTACTGTTTCTATGAAATACGGATATGATAAATTATCGTTTCTATAAAATGCGGGTCTAATAAATTACAGGTTCTATGAAATACGGATATGATGAATTACCGTTTCTATGGAGTACGGGTTCGATGAATTACTGTTTCTATGAAATACGGATCTGATGAAATACTGATTCTATAAAATACGGTTTCTATGGGAAGTTGTTATGACAAAATATCATTTTGATGGTTTATTGGTTCGATGAAATACGGTTACGACGAATTACGGTTTCTATGAAATACGGATATGACGAATTGATATTCCGATGAAATACAGTCCTGATTGATTACCAATTTGATGGAGAACTAGTACGATAGACTGATGTTGCGACAAAATACGGATATGATAATTCACTGTCTCGATAGAATATAGTTCTGATAAGATACAGATATGATGGAATGATGATTCTCATTAATACCATTTTGATATATCATAACTGTTTGATGATTCACGTATTGAAATTTTATACGGCCCGATGTTCCATATTTTGATATTTTACGGTTCTACAGGATACAGTGTCGATTCTATACTATTCAGATGATTTACCAATTTGATGATATATTTTTCTATGGATTTCAATTCGATACTTTATATTTTGACACATTAGGTGTCCCTGCTATCGATGATTAGGTAACACTACTTCTGCCTACGAATAAGAACTCATAGCCTAAAGAAGTTCAGAAAAATTCCACTATCCATTTCCTTTCCCTATCGTCCCTGAGTAGGTATGGACGATGTTCTTCATACATCATACCCAACTAGCATTTATAGTCGCGATTACGTAATTACGACTATTGGGTCGACTATTAAGTAATATTCACTAGTTGCGGTTACGTTATAATTACGTCGTTACTACGTATTTACGACCAAAATGGGGAACAAATCACGAGTAATTATTACGGTTTGCCGACGTAGCGGGAACTCACACAATTACGTAATGCTAACGACCCGTCGACGTCGAAATTACGTAAAGATGTTGTAAATTTTCCTACCTGACTTTCTATTTCTTTTCCACTTCATAAAAATATTATTTTCTCTCTTTATTATTCTTCATTTCATCCATGAAGTTCACATTCACGAAAAATGAACAAGTCCAATATGCCTAACCATTCAATAAATAATACAAGGACAAACACGCGAAATAATTGATACTCGAACTTGAAAAATTCGAACAACATTCAGTTTTTCGATAAATGTGATGATTTTGCCTCGAAATTCAAGATGCGCCCACAAAATACGGCTCATTTCACCAAAAATATGGTTTTATTTCATTCGGCTATTTTTCAAAAATCATCGTAAATCATGTTAATTTCCATTATTATGCAATTTGTGATCGAACGAATGCTATTATTCTTCATAAAATGATGTTTATCAACAAGAAAAACCAAAATTATTTCCTGTTCAAATGGTTATCACATCAATCAATATGGCTTCCAATCGAAAATGAATCAGAAAGTTACTTTTGGAACTCGTCAGTTATGATAACCTATGTATTGGTAACTTCAACTGAATATAATTACCGAAAAGTTGTTTCAACTATGAAGGAATTGTTTGAGTAGGAATTACCAATATGTTACTTGAAATATCACCAAGAATTGACTAAATTATTAGGTGATCGATCAAGTAACGACAACGTCGTAGAAACCTAATTGGTGACCATAGAGTAATTGCAACTGTGAAGCCTTCTTGGGGTGGTAAGCGTTACCGTAATAATATATCCAAAGTTCCGAAACCTTGAGGAGTGACAGTTTCGAAATACTTACTTCGTAATAAGCCATGAGAATTTCTCACTTTGAAGTTATTATCTAGTGTAAAAACTACGTAATTTTCACTCACTAAATAACTATCACTGACATTTATACTATGAAGTTCTGAAATAAGTGATAAATACGTTATTATCACTAAATATAGGTAATAGTTTCTTGAACCATGGTGCCTGTGACTGCAAATGCTAGTTGGGAGGGATCCCCTTTCGTGAGCTTCAAAAGATTAAAAAAATATAGTTGCTCTCAAAGACACATAAATATTATCACAATTATTCACCTACTATCGGAAACTGTAGTTCAATAAATAACTATGAATATCAAATTAATCAACATACCGAAATAAATATTTGATCGAAAGATATACCTTATCTGCAAACAAATAATATAAAAACACTCTATATGCGCCTCAACTCACACCTCACAACTAGTTAGTTCGATCCAAATCAAACACATGCCATGGTATTTTCAGATCACATGTACTGACCGTATATTTTTTCTACAGAACATACCATATACAGGATGTTCCTCAATGACATAAATATGCTTATAATCAAGGGGGCGATTATTAAACCCATTTAAAAAAAAATCATGAACGTATGTCGTGGACAACCTATCATTTGGGATACTGAGTCTCCAAGCTGATGAAAAATAGTAAGTTTTGTTCAATTAGGTACTAGAACTTATAACCTCCAGAAATTCAGAAAAAAATTTTAACCACCTACCTGTTCTGCCTATCCCACCTAGGTACGCACGATGAACATGATAGGAATTTTATTTCGTGCGGTCTGAGAGACGAACAAAAAAATCTAATGAATTGATTAAACTCTGAAGGCAAATGAAATAGTAATATTCAGCCAATCAGATTTTTGGTGGTATTGTTAGGGGGATATTATTGTTTGTATTTTGAAGTGAGAAGTGAGAAACGATTTCTGACTTTTATACAAAAATATGAGAGGTTATCCAATTTTGTACAAAAAGGACCTCTTGTTCAAACTCGATAAGATGCACTGTTTTCGAAAAGAAACGGGAAATTAAGACAAGACTATGCAGATTTTGATGTAACACCTGTTCTCTGCAAGTTGTTCAACTATTGTTACAAATTGGGGATATTCCCGTCCAACTGGAAAATTGCAAGAGTACAACCAGTTTCCAAAAAAGACAAAAAGACCCTACCAAGCAACTATAGACCGATCGCACTGCTATACATATATTATTTCAAAGATCATGGATAAAGCTATCAACATCGAGCTCATGAAATACCTGGAACATTCAGGTATTATCAACGATAAGCAATATGGCTTTCGTCATCAGAGATCAACTGGTGACTTGCTTGCTTACGCCTCACATATACGGCAGCAATCTATTGAAAATTATGGTGAACCCTTAGCCGTGGCTCTTGATATCTCCAAGGCATTAGATCGACTCTGGCACCACGGACTCCTCGCCAAGCTTCCATCTTATGGCTTGCCTCCCCAGCTATGTTCTCGACTAGCTACTTCTCTCTCAAACAGGTCTTTTTATGTAGTGGTCGACGGAGTTTCATCTGACTCTCTCACCATGAATGCTGGTGTTCCACAAAGATCTATTCTAGCACCAACACTATTTCTACTCGATATCAACGATTTTTTGAAAGCAACTTTATGTTCAGTAGACAGCTTCGCGGATGATAGTACCCTCCATACCGCCTCCTCTTCTAGGGCTCCAATACTAGCCAGGCAAATCAGAAACGAACGAGAAAGGAATGTTGACAACATAATTATGAACTTGGCAACAATTCTCGAATGGGGATCCAATAACTAGGTAGATTTCAATGGGAACAAGACACAAGCATGCCTTTTCTCTAGAAAATCCGATCTCACTGCGCCCAACATGAGCTTGTCGGGAGTAACCATGCATACCTTTGGAGACATCCATTTCGATGCTTGGCATTATCTTGGGAAAATCACGTGAGATCGATTGCTAAAAGTGCATCCCAAAAACTTCGTTTTCTGTATCGAGCCAGGAGCTATTTCACTCCCAGTCAGCTGCTTATGACTAATGAGGCACAGATTTGACATGTCCTGGTATACTGTTTCCATATTTGGAGTGCAG